CGTTGGAGTAAGTTGGCCTTGCCGATGTTGACGATGGTGCGTGTTGCTCGTAGTGAGCTTCAAGGAACTGCAAGTTTGGAACATGTGTATGGCAACGAGTTTCACGGTTTGAGCAATATGCGGAGGAGGAGTATGTTGTTTTGTTATTGATAAGCTAATGGTGGTGTGGTTTGTAGTTTGGGGAAAAACGCTTATGGTGGTGGTGTTGGAGTAGTTGTTATAACTGCCTCTTCTTTCTCCTCCATGTCCTTGTCCATGTCCACGATCTTGGCCACAAACTCATCCTCTTTGGCTCTTGTAATTCGCATAGTTTGCTTCCTTTGCATTGAGTTATAGTAGTTACTCTATAGCCTCCTTTTGTTTAGTTTTCCTCTTTTGTTTTTCTTCGTATGCTTGTAAGGCACCCATAAGTTTCTCAATAGTCATGGTCTTTAAATCCTTGTTTTCTTCAATGTTGGTATCAATGAAGTCAAAACTTGGATTTAAAGTACGAAGTATTTTCTCCATGACTTTCACCTCATCAACATCTTCACCATTTCTTTTAAGTTGATTGACTACAGACAATACTCGAGAAAAATAATCAGAAATTGACTCAGAATCTTCCATAAATAAACGTTCAAACTCACCTCTAAGAGTTTGAAGACAAATCTTTTTCACTTGCTTCAATCCTTTGTTACAAGTTTGAAGCTTGTCCCAGGCTTCTTTGATCGTCGTTGCATTGGAGATCTTCTTAAACATATCTTCATCCACTGGTTGATAAATGAGGAAGAGAAATTTCTTGTCTCTTTTTCTTGACTCCTTTAATGTCTCCTTTACACCTTGGCTTAGCAAGGCTTCATCTTGCTTCTTGAAGACTTTCTCAATGATATCCCACGCATCTTGAGCTCCTAGTAGTGCCTTCATCTTAATACTTCAATTGTCATAGTTTTTCTTCGTGAGCATCAGCATTTGGAAAGGGAAACCTCCGTTCGCCACCTTTTGAGGACCTTCAAGCTCTAATGCCACTTTTTTGGAAATAAAGCCTTTTGTGTTTAGGAAAAGTGTGTGGAAATATTAGAGACTTGAATATAAACTTGATAGATAGAAGAATTGTTTATGGAAGAGAGAACTTTGTATTTTACTTGATTCAAAAGTGTAAAATTACATCTCTATTTATATTACTCTAAGGAGAACTATAGACACATTAATTCTAGAGAGTTATCAACTCTAGAAATTCCAAGGTATTCTAGAAAATATTACAACCCTAAGAAATATCTAGACACTCCAAATATTACAAGAGTTTTCTAGAAACATTGATTAAAACTACCTAAGCCCAAAATAGCTAAGTCCAAAAATTCAAAACACAAATAATAAGGTTAGACTCAAATCAAGTTTAATCTTTCAACAGTTATATGTTGAGCGCGAAGTACGAAGCATTGTGTTTGGAGGTACAGGTTTTGTGTAGAATATGGAGCAGGATGATGGTGGTATTCACGATTTACGTGGTGGTAAAAATGCAGAAAAAAAGTAAAGGAAAGTTTGAAGTATGTGTTTTCACGTGATATTTTGCTAGTGTTGTTTTAAAGAAGTTTGAAGGATTGTTGTGTTAAAGGTGTTTGGTTACTTATCAAGATGTTAGAGTGGAAAATGAAGAGCAAAAACGAGGGAGGTTAGTATGTTGAAGTGAGTGTTAGGTCATGACTACTTCATGAAGAGGACAAGATCATGGAAATGGAACAGTAGCATGAAAAATAATGTTTTGTGCTAAAAAATCTCTCAACTGTTTCTTTTTTGTTAGAGATAATATGCAGTATGAAAGGTTTGTGTGGGGAGTGGTTTTAGGAAGAAGATGAAGGTGGTTTTGAGTTATGCAAACTTGTTGTTTCTACGCTGCAGTGACAAAATGAACTTTTTTCTTTTGATTTTTTATGTTGGAGAGAAATAGAATTTTATGAGTGGTATAGGATTGGTTACTATGTACGAAAACATAAAGAATGACTTCCCAAAAAAAATTCACTTTCTCCTTTTTCATATCACTTTTTCAAAATTTGAGAGACGCAATGCCAACGGGAGTGCGGTGTTGATTATTGGATGGATTCACCCCGACTTCACAATAATGCAATATTATATACATGATCCAAAGTTAGGGTTTCTAAAATTAGACATGTCCAAGATACACTCCTAGATAACTTAGTAGACAAGAACTGCCTAAAATAAAATGAATTAAAAAACATATTTTATATATATATATATATATATATATATATATATATATATATATATATATATATATATATATATATATATATATATATATATATATATATATATATATATATATATATATATATATAACCATAATGAAGGTTTCATTAATTGTATTTATTTTTGTCTATATTTTGACTATATAAGAAATAAAATGAATTAAAATAAATAAAAATTAGGCGCAAAAGTGCTTGAAAAATAAAATCGAATGCACCAAAATGATTAGGGCGACATAAACCTCTCGGAAAAATACAGCCTTTGATCAAATTTTGAAATAAACTTTGACCGGTTAAAAGACTCAAATTGATCTAAATGCGACTGAAATAGTAGTCAAAAAATTAAAAACGAGCAAGCCAAGTTAAACTACGTGAAACATAGATCAAGAATACTGATGTCCGCAAGCTCGGTTTTGAAGTTTTCCGTCTACTGATTTTACACATAATTGAGAATCAGTTTAATCAGACTGTCTATACTGTAAATTCGAAAAAAATTTATCTGGCTGAAATTTTAGGTATTAAATGAGATGAAATGCATGATATGTTATGCAGGTGAAGCAAATGCTATTTTTTCGGCGATTCAGGGTTAAAATTGAGGTATCATAGACATATAATAAGTTCTAGGGACAGATGTCTGACATGATAACTAGGACATTGTATACTAGAATAAAAATCAGTTTTAAAATACCAAGAGAAAATAATTTAGCTTATGCAAGATGATGAAGCAGAAAGAGCAATAAAGAACACAAGAGAATGGTAACCCAGTTTGGTGAAAATACACCTACATCTGGGGGTACTCTATCCAAGAAAGTAAATTCACTACTTTGAATTAGTACAATTAGTCTTCTATGAACATTAACCCCACGATGTTCAACACCTATTCCTAATCCTAATGATTTTCTATTTAGGCTCCCCCTAAATATTATAACCTCTGTCACTTTCTTCAATCACTAACCCCTAGTAATCAACTCAACAAATTTAATGATTGTTGAATTTACAACTCAACTAAGAGAAACCAACAACTATGGCAAGTTATTGAAACATAGAGTGGCGTAAAACAAATAGATTCAACATTAATACATCATTAACGTGTAATACAAGAAACTAATGCACTTTGTTCTCAAGCTTATATAATTAATATCTTGGAACAAAGCTTTACAACTCAACAAGGGAACCAAGCTATACGCCTTAAGATATGAATAAATGTGATAGAGTGGTGCAAAACAAAAATTCAACTCAAAAAAATAGAAACCCTAACACAAAGAGTCTTCTAAACTTGCATACCACAAACTCTAAGTTTGGGTATCCTTAAATAGCAATGCTTCTTATGGACATTTGTTGGATATGATTTGTTCCATAAAAATATCCAATAAGAGATATGATTTGTTTTTAATTCAAATTCAAATTTAAATCTCCAGTTAAACGGGTTTGACCTCATACAACTGTCAAACAAATCACACAAACGCATTGCTAAAATATAGCAACAAATCTGATTGAATCTCAACCATAATTTTGCTCCAAAAACGCAATAACATTGGTCTGTTGAGTCAAGGTTAGATGTTGCACACATGTTAGAACATCGTGTTCCACATGTTACACTAGAACATCCAAAATAACTCTATTCAAATAAATCTTCTTTGTAGAGTAAATCTTAAACCAAATCTTCCTTCAAGTGCATCCAATCAAATCTTCTATGATTGAAACAAATCCAAATCTTTTCAAATAGATTTTAGATTAACAACATAAACTTCTTCCCAAAAGCAAACATCTGCATCTTCTGAAGAAGTCAACACCACAACTCTTCTGAAAGATATTTGAAGATAGTCAGAATCCGAACATTATGCCGAGACGATACATACTCACATGCTCAACCTCTTGTTTAACTAGTTTTATCAAGCACTTTAGTTACATCTTGTAACCTCTTGTTTAATTGATTCTGTCAAACAGTTTAGTTGATCTCTTGCTTAACTGGTTTTATCAAACACTTTAGCTGAACAACTCTTCCTAACTAACAAATTCAGATTCAGATGCTGAAACACATATTAGAATATTTTGTTTCACATGATTGCTAAAATTCATCTTAGACATATGTTATTTCACATAATATAACTAGAAAAAGAAACTACACGAATTAATGACCGAGTTAGACAGGACTACATGTCCTCTAAACCTCTAAACGGCCGTACATATGGCTCAACATAAGCAACCGCTTAGAAAGAAGACTAGAAAAATAATTTTCAAGTAGTCTCAAGACGATCATTAATACCCATCAAAAACCAAGCAAGATACTTGAAAATGAGGGTTTCAAGTTTTCAATTAAAAAATGTCACATGCTAGAGTCAAAAAAGCTGGCTGCTTAACTCAAACTATAGCTTTCGTTCCATAATTCATGATCACATTTCACATACACCCCACCAATTATTGTATCAGCTGCTTAACTCAAACTATAGCTTTCGTTCAATTCCATAATTCATGATCACATTTCACATACACCCCACCAATTATTGTATCAATTACGTGAATAAAGAATTGGTTTAAGCACTAATTCCTGGTTCTTTTTTAAGTCACTCTTAGTACTCTTAAAACATACATAACTCTTACGGTACCTTTAAAAATAAATGTGTCGTAGTGTCCGATATGTGTCGGTGTCCGATATTTGTATGACATCTATACAACATGAGACAAGTTCTAATTTAATTTGCATTAATTACCTTTTATTATTTCATTTTATTTAGTACTAAAACCAAACACATGAACACACTATTTCTTAAAAACCTTAATATCCCTCCAACGAGACTCCATGTAACTGGAAGGATCATTCTGAACATAAACTCCAATCTTAAAGTAGTGAGTACCAGCTCCTCTACCATCTCCATTATACTTAAGATCCCCATCAATATAAATCTTAACATTGTTAGCACCAACATCATGAATAACATTGTGGACTCCGTTTGTAAAGGTGTAACGTTGGTTTACGGAGACATCGTAAGGCTTTTGGATTTGGAAGTTTGAGTTGTCTAATGGAAGTTGGGTGAAGCCTTGCGTGGGATCGACTGCAGAGGCAAAGGAGGTGGTTTGATAGATGATTAATGGGATAAGGATGAGGTGCAGAATTGGTAACTTTGTCATGGTTTTAGGTGGAAGATACTGGTTCTTTTTTTCTTCTAGAGGAATGAGATTGTGCTAGAATATGGTTGTAACTAGAGGTATATATATAGAATTTTATTGAATCAAACTCTAACCTTGCTGTAAATTGGGTATAGCCACCTTTTGGATTCAAACTCTAACATTGAAAATATATAATTGATTTATAACTTTTACACATTATAAATTAATTTAAATTAAAAATTGATTCTAAACTAATTTTAAATTAAATTGAATTCATATTTCAACATGTGTATTTTTATGAATCATAAACACCTCTAATTAATTTTTTTTTTTATTTCAAAAAGTAAAAAAACTCAAAAGAATGGAGTAAAAATCTCAAGAATGGCCTATTGATGTTGAAATTCGTCTCCTGATAAATTATTATCTCGGACTATTCATCATGTTTGAATTTTCAATGTGAATAAGTTTTTTTTTTTTAATGGAAGTCTTGATGAAGAGAAGGGGGGAAGAAACAAGAAGTTTCCGGTGACCAGACCATTTCTTACCACTAGTCATTTTCCAACATCTCGGCTGATGTTTTCTTTTTACCTCTCAGGGCAGCTGTCCCCACTTCTCATTTAGTTGTTTATGATATTACAAAAAATTTGAATAATTTTGATTTTCATTTAATTAAACACTATAAAAATTATTCAATATTTTTTTCTTAACCCCTTTTGTTATGTCCTGTATGGAAATTCCTATTGTTTTTCTGAAAGGCTAGACAGTGGACACAAACTCCATCAAAGAAACACCAACTCCAAAATAGATCACAGGAATTCAATTACACACAGACAATGAAAACCAAAATTAAAAAAAACAAACAAACAACGCCAGTGTTTAGATAATGACAAAATTAGTATTAATACAACTTTGTTTTAATTTTGATATGTTATTGATTAGATACGTGAAATTATTTTTACTAGACGGTTGACACGCACTTTGCACGAATATATAATTTTTTATTTATTTATAATACTTAATATTATAATATACTATCAAGAATTGGTATATGAAACTCAAGAAAAAATAAATTAAATTTAAAAAATAATTTCTTTAAATGAGAGTTTTACATTAAAGCTTATAAATATTTTTATCAATAAAAAATTGTATGTTAATTTCAAGTGTATCTCAAATGACAATAACGAAATGAATTTTATAAAAAGAAAATTGTTCACTTTTTTTCTTGATAAAGAACTTGACTTGTCAAGTATCATAAAATTGATAGAAATAACTATCCTTTGGGCCTTTTATGTTTTGGGCTTTTGTAAGCCTAAAAGTATAAATAAGGTGCCTTACTTTGTATTCAAACATAACATAAAAAAGATTTCAAAGTTGCAGTGTTTAGCAAGTGAAAGTTCTATAAGCAATAAGAAATCCCACAGTTGTGAGTAACACATTCTCTCCAAATATTTCTTCTCTCATTCTTCTCTTTCTTGTTTGTTATTCTTCTTCTCTTTTGTTGTTCTTGATAATTATTTGTTATTACCATTACTATCATATTGTGGGTTTGTTCATCAATCTTGAAATCAAGATTGAAATGAATTCTTCATAGAGTGTGAGGTGAATTTCCAACATATACTTCACCTATACACACAAAATCATTTAAAATAATAGATAATAATTTAATGATGAATTTACATACATAGATTCATATCAGAATTTTTTTTAAAGTAGCAATGTTATATAATTTAATTACCAAATAAAACAAACTTTCAAAAAAATTACCAAAATGACAAACTTTGAAATTCATCCACCAAGCATTCGCCAAATGGTTTGACGAATTAGTTAAAATGTTATTTCAAGGCATTCGTCAAATGGAATGACCAATTAGGCCATTTGGAAATTGGTCAATGTGTTGTCGCCACATGAATTAGCGAATGTGGCTAATTTTTAGGGTTTCCAATTTTTTTCCTTTTTCTTGTGTTTTTTATCATATATTTAAAGTTTAGAAATTCTAACTTTTTATACTCGTAAACATGATTTTATTTTATTTTATTGAAAACATTGTTTAATAAAAGCATCTTAATTATTTTCTACATTATAACCATTATATTAACTTGCTAGTGTAGTTTTAGGTATTGTAACGCAATATTCAACTTTTTGAAGGGGATAGAGAAGTTACCCCCTTAACTTAATAGTTTCATATTTATATATCAAATTAAAAATTACATATTTTACCTGTTTTACGTGAAATAACTAATAAGTTAGTATATTACTTGAGGTGATAAATTGTTTTTGGGTGGAGTAAATTGTTTACCTGGAAATTTTTTTATACTGTAAATCAATATGGCAGAATAATTTATTCTTTAATAGTTTACTTTATTTTTCAAATTTTAAAAAAAAGACTAATATATATATATATATATATATATATATATATATATATATATATATATATATATATATATATATATATATATATATATATATATATATATATATATATATATATATATATATATATATATGGTTAATACAAGAAAAACAAAAAAAATGGAAACCCTAAAAATTAGGCACATTTCCCAATTCATGTGGCGACAACACATTGACCAATTCTCAAATGGTCTAATTCGCCATTCTATTTGACGAATGCCTTGAAACAACATTTTAACTAATTCGCCAAACCATCTGGCGAATGCTTACGAGATGAGTTTCAAAGTTTGTCATTTTGGTAATTTTTTTGAAAGCTTGTTTTATTTGGTAATTAAATTATATAACATTGCTGCTTTAAAAAAAAATCTTCATATCATCCATCTATTTTAATTTGTTTTTCTAACTTATATTTTTCGTTGGATAGGCAAATGCTAGTATTTTTCTAGCTTATATTTTTCGTTGGATAGGCAAATGCTAGTATTTTTCTAGATTATATTTTTTGTTGGATAGGCAAATGCTAGTATTTTTCTAGCTTATATTTTTCGTTGGATAGCTTATATTTTTCAACGGTATAGAATAAAGTATCTAAGTTCCAACTATGAGCATTCATTTGTTCTTAAATACAACTAAATGACATTAAAAAAAGGAACCTATAGAAAATCAACAATTCATTGCAAAAGTAAATGTTGATATTCATAACAATTCTGACAAAAAAGAAAAATAAATTGGCAAAGCATCACTTATAATAGATGGGTTTTGATTGAACAATTGAACAAAGTTAAGTCAAATTCATTATCTTATCATTAGGTGACAAACAAGTAACACTAACACCTATACACAAGGAAAGTTTGTTGAAATAAAATATTTTCTATTAATTATTATTTTTCTGAATGCCAAGTCACTTTGAATGTCCCTCACACTATGTCTTATTTTTCTGAATGCTGTCTCTAGCTTACATTGACCGTTACTTTAAAAAAAAAATACACTTCTTGCAATATATTTAAATTAAAAAAATTTAATATCAATATGTATTTTAAAATTCAGTTTTTTTATTCATATATTTAACATGTTTTAGAATTTTCTAAATCCCATTCGTTTTTGTAATGATGCGGCTATGTAATTAATGACGTGAGTGTGATGTGTGTCACCAATGAATTGGAAAAAGAGACCACATCATTATTGTTTTAATACTCAATATAATTAATCAATATACATGTCATTACATATATTAAATTAATTAATTATTTTTAAAAAATAAATTATAATATTAATATTAAGAATAAATTATAGACCAAAACTATAACTTTTTCAATCAAATTCTACTTTCCTTTCATTCATCTTTTTAGACAAAAATTGACATTTGAAAACAAAATCAATAATGCATTATGAACATTTACAATAAAAAAAGTTAATTTGATAAGAAAAAAAACAGTTTCTTTATATGTTTTCTTCCAAGTTTTCTTCCAAGTGTAAGTTTTTCTTTTACTTCTTTCATTCTCCGGTTTTTCATAACTTGTTATCTATTATTCTTCTCCTTCTTTTTTTTCTTATCCCTATATTATTTAACCAACTCACTGTGACATCTTCCTTATTTATATGTGTCACTCATTTCAACTTTGCACTGTTCTTCGCACTGTTTTTTCAAAAACAAGTCTCCAATCATTGTATGCAACTTCTTTCTTCTCACTATTTTCATTTCCACGAATATTCATGTATGTTAGTGAAATGAAAGAAAGAAAATAGAGTTATAAATTATAAATTGTACCGTTCAAAGAGTTTGGATGAATCCAAAACTTTGTAAGCATGTTGCTCAACTTATGTTGGCATAAGTGTGAGGTTTAAGAGTGTTGGTTATCTTGAGCTTGACCTTTGAGATGACTTTGTATTTCTTTGTTTTAGAATATATATAGTTTTTTATTTTTATAAAATATGAAATTATGGCATTTTCAATTCCAATCATATTTTATTATTTGATTCATATATAATTTTTTTTATAGTAGCCTTTTGATGATCATATCCCAAAAATCAACAAAATGCAACTTAAAGACCAGTCGAACAAGAGCAAGTCAGATAAAACAAATATTTATGTTTTATATAGAAAAGAAGCATTGGAGATGACAAGGTTAGTAGATATATTGAAATACCTTTATGGACAAAAAAATAACTTATATGTAATTTTATTTAAATGAGAGATTAAAACATAACGTGCACTTTAAGGAGATATTCGATTAAAAAGTTTAACATAAATCTATCACAATGTATAGTTACATTTCTACTATTAAATTTAGATTATTTTAGATAAAATATATTTTATCATAAATTAATACAATTAGACTAAAATGTTAAAATAAACACTAAAATATTAACTTACCTATCAATTTTTCTTGTTTAATTTGTATCAAATGTTTTAATAATATTGAATTATAACTTTTCTATTAGGCTTGCATTCGAACACTTTAAGGAGGCCACAAAAGCTTATCAACAAAAAGATCATTTTTCTGCAAAACAACATTCTATGGCCGGCAGAAAAATACGTCTTATGGTTGAAGAGCATAACTATAATGCAGCAAAAGAAATCTTCAAAATTAATAACCGCAAAAACAAAATTT